GGTCCCGTTGTGGCTTCTCATCTTGTGTCGGCTTCGTTTCGAGGTACGAAGGGGACTATGTTGGGTATGTCCCAGGAATGTCCAGGTTTGGCCGTGTTGGGCTTGTGCTGGTTGAGCCCCAGGCTGTGGAGGAATGGGTCGGAGTCAGCAGCTGAGGTGAGTCGGCGGGTGGTCTCGCCCTGTATGGCCACGAGTGTGTGGGAAGGGCCCCATCTGTACTGGACGCCTGCTTCTCGGAGGGTCTTGGTGACCTGGCTGAGAGAACGTCTCCACTCCAATGTTGCCCTGCAGAGATCCTGGAGAAAGGTTAGTTGTGAGCCCTCAAATTTGAGTGGGCTCTTGTTCTTGATGGCGTCCATCATTGCTTGTTTGTCGCGTAGGGACTGGAACCTCAGGAGGACATCACGGGGAGCGTCCGCCGGAGCCCTTGGTGACTTGGGGAGTCTGAGTATTCCATCTAGTTGCAGGTTCTTTGCCTGTTTGGGGTGCAGGATTTCCGACAGGAGGCGCCTAATAAAGTGGGGTAGCTCTGTGTTGTTGACATTTTCCGTGATGCCTCTTACTTTTATGTTGATTCGTCTCCTGGAGTCGTCCATCGCATCGACTCTGGCCTGCAGGGCCTGGTGTGAGCCGTGGAGTTGTTGTAGTCGTTCTGTTGCGTCTGACTGGCGTTGTGCCATGGAGGTGATGTCCTCCTCTGTGGCCTTCACCCTGTCCGTTACGGCCGTTACCTCCTCGCGGAGTAGCGCCATATCCGTGCGGAACCATGTGCGCAGGTGTTTCAGGAGGCCCAGGATGTCTCCCTTAGTTGCGGGAGCCCCCAGGTCCCCTAGTTGCACGGCGGAGAAAAGGTCATCTGCCTCAGGTATGGCATCTGGGGAGTCCAGTGGGTCTTCGTCCGAGGATAGGCCTGGAGAGTCTGGCGCTGCCGCCATTTTGGTTTTAGGCCGCGCCAGGAATATGTCTCCTATTCGACGTGTACCGTCGTCCGAGGATGCTTTCAGCTTTTTTGATCGTTTCCCCATATTGGTGTTGCAGGGGGATGTTTAATTTTCGACAGTGCACCGTCTGCTTTATAGTCGTTTGCTCGATTTTTGCCGCTTTCAGCTCGGAGCTCAGCCGACATGCGACTTCCTAGATCCTCTACTTTTAACACAGAAAATTCCAAACTGAGAATCTCCGATGGATAATATGCACTTGTTCAGCAGCTTATGTAAGTGCGCTCAATATAAAGTGACCTAAACTAGTGCACAGCCTTCTTATATAATGTACAAGAAGAAACTTGGTGTCCTACATAATGGACTACAGGGATGACATTTGCTGCTTCCATATTAACTGCAAAAGGAATAGTTTGTCCGAATCTAAAAATAAAAATAAAATAACGGGACAGTCCAATAAAGGAACACTCCAATACCGGGACACTAATAAAGGAACACTCTAATAAATGAACACTCTAAGCAACATAGCTACTAGACGTAGAGTGTTTGGCTAAGCCATTCTTTGTATTCTGAGTCAAACTTCGCCTTCTGCGTTGTGGAAGTATAAAGTCTACATTATCAATGTGGCTGTGGAGGTGAGTGTCATGGAGAGTCACAGTTTTTCTCAAGTTTGACATTAAACTGGATATGGTGTCCAGAGACCTTGGCGATATAACCACTACACTGAGCTATAGTATATGTTACTTATCTGACCCTTTTATTGATTAATGATTAAATCCGAATTGTCAAAGTAAATCTCATGTGCCTTACTCATTATCTACTTTTTACACACCAGAAGGTGTCATAGGTTATGACAAACTGTTTGCTGTTTTGTTCTTTCTATTCCTTGTTTGTTTGTTTTATTTTACACGTTTCTAACTCTAATAATCCAAGCTAAACATCCACATCACAAACATCCTCAAGAAGTTAAAAAGTTTACTTCAAACAAGCTAATCTCCTGAATGTATGCCAAACTTTGGGCACAACATTTCCTATACCCCAACTCTGATCCCAAACTATCCAATTAACATTAGCCAGAGGGATTTAACTATGGTTTGCCTCATAAGCCATCATATTCATGTACTTAATATCTGGAAATTGTTACGACCTAATAATCACAAACAGACTTTTGATGAAGGAGGTGAATTTGGCATTACCGAGACTTACTCTTTAAATCATGAACGTTGACCTACTCATATTACTAAACTTTCAAACACAAGCCAGAATCAAATATTTAAAGGTTTTACCTTCTCATACTTTAATACCACAAAAGCAATTAATTCCACAGAACATTTTTTAATACTCTTAACCAGTTCTGACATTGATACTGGCACTATATAGACATTTATCATAAAATAGCAGCATATTCTACTGTTCATACATCCCCATTACCAGTTACATTATTTGACCTTTGGATATCTAGAAAACTTCCTCACATTAAAATTTATTAAAATAAGCCACACATTCAATACATTTACATATTTAGCCAACTGATATGAAATAATCCCAACATGGGGGCGGGGCCTGATGGTAATGGCCACTTGATGTGTGCTCCTCATGCTTCAGGTGATTTAGCCCAGTTGCCGGCACCCTTTGGACCAGACTGAAGCATACTAGTGTCCAGCATCGACTGACCGGCTTGGGGAATATTCCAGCAGTCGCCACCTGTGATTTCGGGTGTGAGGTCTAGTGGGAGTTGTGGAGGGGAGAGGCGGCTCTCTAACCATTCTTCTATGGTTGAACTACCACTTTGAAAAATTCTGGCAGAAGCTGCAGGACAGGTGTCTACTGCCTGTCACGCAACCTCCACCATCTCATTTACCTGCACATCCACTCCGAAGCCCCAGTGATCAACATGTGGCTCTGGACCTTGTGGTGACCCACACTGTATAGGCTGCACTGGCAATGCAGGAGGAGGGCAGCGCGCAGATGCTTGCTGAAGTTGGGCACATGTAAGACAAGTTGGAGAGCCCCCAAGACAACAAGAAATGCCAACTGCAACCCAACGCCTGACTTACAATCAAGGTACTCATCAACTGGGGCTTCCACCACTGGGATTGCTGATCAGCACCATTCTCGGAGACTTATGGTCTCGCTTGAACACCCAGAATGTCTGAGTATGCAGTATCCTATTTACTGTCATTCTGCAGTAGCCTGCTTTTCCATTGTACTTCATGAGTAATATCAGGACTCTCACATCTATCACACAAAACCCCAGTGGTTGGAATTTCTCATCAGACAAAAGTTAATTGTTCTGATACTCTATACTTGTGTTGTCTGCTCAAGTAAAGTTTATGCAACCTGAAAAGATTATTGTAGCTTACCTAACTAAGCCTACCTGTTTTATAAAATGTGCACCACTCTTGTCATATCCTTTAATACTCATGCACCCTCTTTACAAGCTTATTTGTCAAACTCTGCACAAAAAAAGAATTAAAAAAAAAGAATCCCAACATTTTGCAATGAATCAAGTTCCTTTATATTGTGCAACTTTTTTCTGATATTACAAAACCTTTATTTTATTAAAGAAAATCTCTGGGCACCATAACAATGTGATCTCATTAAAACATTATGGATGCTGGAGGTCTGGGATGTTTTCTTACCTTATGGCTTTGAACCATTTTCAAACTACTGAAATTCAAAGTTGCCTAGATGGCACCTCTCGGTTTGGCCCCTCTTTCTTGCCTCAGTTCCTGGCTTCTAAGAGGAAGTCTACGATTGGGTGTTGGACACTCTCAGCCTATCATCGTTGCCCAGTCCTAGGCTTCCACATTAAAGCTGGGGACTAGCAGATGGGTGTCTTCTGAACATTTTTGGGCTAAACCATTTGTAAACATCATGCATTGAGATTAAGTTGTTGTGGTGCCCAGAGTGTTCCTTTAACTGGCTTACTTGTACTAGAATTAGTAATCTATATACATCCTACTAAATCTGGTCAAAAATTGTAGATGGAAATTGAACAATGTTACTTCTTGACTCTTCTGGACTAACTGCCTTAGGGTGCAATAATTCCTCTGTCCAGCAAGCCCTCCTAACTATATATTAAATATATATCTTATTGGCATCTCTACTTACCCCCTCACCTATAACTCCTTTATCTTAAATCATAGTTTTCCACTAGGCCTCTCTACTACTAATTTTGTGGGGATTTTTTGCCCGTTCTTAACATCTCATCTCCTCCATTTTGTTCTCCTCTGTCCATGATGTCTTCGGGTTGCCCTTCCGTAGGATTCTTTTGACTGATGGATTGTGGGTAAATTATCTTAAGTGAATTAAACACTTTTGCTTACGATCTGCCAAGACCACGCGTTGCGTGAGAAATAGTAGTCCCTAAGGATAATTTTTAAAAAATTAGACAAATAGAGGGACAAAAGAAAAAAAATGAAAAGTTAATTTAAAAGCAAAACCTGCCATCATGTTATGCAAACTAAATGGACTTATATGTTTTTTTAAGCATTATTAGCTTATATCTCAGACAACAAAATATTCTCTTGCTCCTTGTCTTCTTGTGCTGGAAAAATGAAAATGCAGCCTTTATACATTATGGCTAATCGTAAGTATTAGTGAACATTTCAAAATTGATTCTTTCCTCATTAATGCATAAGCCTTGGCCCAACCAATAACAGTCATATTACAAGCATTGAGAAATATAGCTTAGAATTCCTTCAACTAATATTACAAAGTCTTCTGGAAAAGTGTATCTACTCAGAAATATCCCATGTTGACAGTACATATACAATTATTACTTCAGCTTATTATTAGCTGTCTGGGACCGAAGTGCAGCAGCTGTTCTGTTTATCATTTAACATTTCCTGAAAGAACTGGAGCAAGCATCACTGCTTGACAATGGCATCATGCACATTCCATAACTTTATTCTAAAAGCAGATATAAATTCTGTTTATATGAGGGCAGAGCTTGAACGCCAAAGCGAACGGACACCAGCACAAGGAGCTTCACACAGAGAAAAAGCCTGAAATACCCCCCCCCATACCCCAACCGGCAAGCAAACACCCCAGGATCTCATGGGGAGAAAGGGGAAGAAAACGATACCACAGAAGCCCAACTCGGGGCTTACGGTAGGGGAGATGTGGAGGCAAACACGTGGAGCCTCCGAATCCAACCTTGCGGCTCTGCATGGCGGGTGCTCGGATTTCTCCGAGGAACTATCCCAGGAGGAGGAGGAGGGATACTCACAGCCTCTTAAACCACCACAGAAGGCAAAACAAAGTGTCATGGGAACAGACACAGAGCTGATCACCACAGCGGTCCTGAAGGCATTATTAGCAGACCTGAAACGCAGCATCCACAAGGATGTCACAGCGCTCCGTGCAGGCTTGAAAGGCCTGACAGGACGCATCTCCAAACTAGAGGGCTCCTCACAATCACAGGCCCAGAATGTCACTGCACTGCAACACACCGTACAAACCCTGCAACAGCAGACCCAGCAATATGAACACCGCCTCGCGGTGCTTGAGGACGCCAGGTGAGCTTCCAACATCAAGATCAAGATAGTCAGAGAGGACATTCCGGAGGCCGAACTGCCTAAACTTATGGGGCGTCTGATACCAGCAGTACTGCCACAAAGACAGACCACAACAATCACCCCAGCGGGAGTTTTTAGAGTCCCTAAACCAACGAGCGCACCAGCCACGGTCAAGGGGGATGTCATCCTGACCCTCCGCAACAACAGAGAGAAGGTGGCGATTCTGTCTTCCCTCTATTTCTGCAACATAGGCATGCTATAATAACAAAAACAGGAATAATAGGTTGCGCTACATAAATAACAAATGGAAAGGGATAAATATGGCAAACACTTTAAAACATAAATAGGGAGAAATATGTAAAAAGAAAAGGGATTTAATAAATATATATATAAAAGATATATATAAAAAGAATGATAGTCCAAATTCTTGATATACTTTTGATAAGTTCAAATAAGTGAATGATAGTAACAGTACTTGGTATATTTCTCTTTCAGGTTCCGGTAAGTATTTGGGGGTAGAGAGTCCAATAAGAGACTGGATCTTCTAGTCTTTAGAGGAGTCTTGATTCGGAGGTGAACATGGAAAATATAAACCACAAAGACGATCCAATAGTGTAGACTGTCTGTGGTAAAAAATAATAATAATAGGTAGGTAATACACTCACCTATCTTAGAGCATAAACTCGCTCTAGTATGTTGGACGTTCAGTGGCGTTTATCCCCCACTGGTAGGATATAGGTGAAGGTAATTCCTCGGTTATAGAAAGGAGATAAAAGCAGAATATAGTGCTCACTGAATATAAATGAAATAAAATAAAATAAAAGAATAAAAATACTCACATTCGAATGAGCAGGATAAACTGCTCAGTATATTCGCATAGGTGGTACAATCCCCACCGAGGATTCTTGGTCGTGAGTAGGCTCCAAGTTAGTGAATGACCAGGTGACAGGAAGTTTTAAAAATGAGATAAAAAGGTATATGGCAAGATTGCTGTAAAGAAGCCACTATTCCTTTATTAGTACAATAAAAAATATATATAAAATAGCCAAAACGCGTTTCGCCACACAGGGCTTTATCAACTGGCAATAGTAAAAATCAGCCTGGTACATAGATACTTATATAAACTTATATAAACTTTGATAAAACATGCTTATTCAAATTTTGGCGCCAAAATGACATCATCCATACAATGTGTGTTTGCCATATTTATCCCTTTCCATTTGTTATTTATGTAGCGCAACCTATTATTCCTGTTTTTGTCATTTCTCTCTTGAGGACTTCAGAGGGAACCTCATATCTATAGGTTGCAGCTTTCTACTTGACCACATCACGCAGCGCTGATCCGTTTTTCTACCTGTATGCTATAATAACAGTCTAATTCTCATTGTATCGTTAAGTTTGATTGAACATGTTCAACACATACCCTATAGACTCATAACGTTAAACTTTGTTGTATTCGTTAAAAATGTGCACGGAACTTATGCCACTACCTAATCTGTATAGTTATGCTGTACGCTGTTGTGGTGTCTTGACAAAGATATTGTACCTACCTGCGCAAAAATAAAAATAAAGAATAAAACAAATAAAAAAAAATCTGTTTATATATATATAAAGGTCCAACGTACTCACTCACTAAACACCAACTTCAAAGCTCACAAAATGGAATAGTTTTCAAAAACATTTGTGGCAAAGATAACAGTTACAGTATATGATCAGCATGATTAGCCAGCATTAAATTATTCAGCAATTTGAGCTACAGTAGTTCTTCTGCATGATCCGACCAGGCTAGTCTTCACTCTCCAAGAGGATCAATAAGGTTTTGGTGCCCATGACCCTGACGTCAGTTCCCTGGTTGTCCTTCCCTGCACCATGTTTGCCAGGTGAGACATGAAATTCAAGAACTGACTGTTCACTTGGTTCCTAAGATATCCAACCTGTCAGGAACATGTATTTTAATGTTATTGTCTCTTTCAATAATTCTGTTCATTTCCTTTAAGTTCCCAGGTCTAGTGACAATAAACAGCCTATTTAAGACCACCCTGTCAGTGAACCTGTGTGCCTTGCATGCTTCTACTAACTAATTTTTAAGATCTCAGAAACTCCACCTCAATTCAGAGCTGATTTTCCTCTTACGTCACCTACAAATTGTATCCTTATACTCACCTTGTATCTTGCATATCTCCATTAGACTTCAAATATTTCCAACTCAGTTGCTGAAAGCAAAATGAACTTTGAAAACTCCCTTTTTTGCACTCAGATACAACCAGCCAGTCTACCAGCCTGTATATATATATAAATATATATATATATATATATATAAATATTCATATAACGTAACATATTCATTATTATCAGTGTCCTATAACACATACTCTCTGTTCCCTCTGGTTTTAAATTTAGAAACAACTGGCAGTGCAATTGAGTAAATATTAATTTCCTAAGTTGGCAATGTTTACATTTGACAATGATAACGATTTTGTGGTCTTGATACCTGTGGTTTTTAAATAGTAAAATTGGTAATTAAATGACTTTAATGTAGGGTTACAATGACAATTCTCTCGATGCCTAGCCTTTATACACAATACACAGTTTCAGTGAGGGGATGTTAAACAGTTTTCAGTAAATGGGAACTAGCCTAATTTCTTTCCATAAACGATTCACCTAATCTTGAAATCTCCTCACCTACTCATAACTTGAAAAAATGTCCTTCATTCCACTTACTATTATTTAGTTACTTCCAAATTCCAAATTACATTTGTACAGTTCTTCCACATATACAAGAAGCTGATTGGTTTCAACCAACTGACAGACTGATCATTCATGAGTCGAAATTAAAATACTCAATAAGTTCCTTTTATACAATTATTAGAAAGCTTCAAGATTATTTTCAGACTTATTTGTTAAGAAAGCACAATCTTTTCATGGATTATTAATATAAGTGACAGATTAATGCCGACAGTAAAACTGTATTTAATTTGTTACCAGCCTTCACATAAGAAATGCACCTGTAATTAACGCATCTAGCTCACTATTACCATAAGAAACCCTACAGACTAGATCTTCGAGGCTCTGATTAATGTCACAAGTACATGTATGGAGAATGAAGAACAGATCTTCTTATTGGAAATGATGAGGGATACAACAATTTTGGAGCAAGGTACATGATTATGTGTCTTCACTGACAAGCATGAAACTCTCATTTATCCTGTAAACATCCATATTTGGAATTCTCTTAAACAATCAACAGGTACTTCAGATTTATACGTAGTTTTGATCGTGATTAGAAAAGCTTCCATCTAAGACCTTCCTTCCATCTAAACTATTACATGATGGATTAGGTGGAATGATTTCTTTACAAAGACAGTCTCACCGAGAGATTCTTCCTGAATTAAAGTTGATTTATTTTCTAGATCATGAATTAACGTACATATATAAAGACTAACCTTGGAGATTAATCAATTCATCAAAATTTTGGCTTATTGCATCATTGAATTCCTGAACTCTGAGCCGGGGTGTAGCCGAATCACAAACCAACCAAACCGAGTATGTTTATTTTGATTTATGATTTGGAATAATGTTCATGAAGCCAAAAAGATGATTGATGGGAAAAAAGATGATCAATGCCCAGGGGACAGTCACTAAATGTTGTTTGTATTCAGATATATTATATATTTTAAATTTATTTAATATATAATATTTATATATTATTTATTTAATAAATATAAAATATATAAATATAAGGGGTCATGGCCGACCTAGCAGCTGACATGCTTTTGTGGAGCTCCGCTTCAATCCAGAGATTTTATACAGAAAACGCTGCTAAACAAAGCCGGAAGAGCCTTTCCATTGCCTCACCCCACCAGAGACACTATGAGGAGCAAACACTGCAAATCTCATAGGCCAGAACCCCCAAACCAATGAGATAAGACTCTCGTTTGAGCGGCCTATGCCACCCGTGCCTCCAAAATGGGCAACACCTCGGAGGAATCACTGGAGGAAGATGAAAAAGGTACCTACCTCTCCCAGACAAGGTGACTTACACCGGGCAGCAGAGTCAGATGATGACTCATCCCCCACAACAAAAGGGGACATAAAGCAAATGCTCCTGGAGATGCAAAAAATCTGGAAGTCCGACCTCTGGGAGATACAATGCGAAGTGGGGGCAATGAAAACAAAGCTCCAAGAGGTGGACAAGCGAGACAAAGTGAAAGAAACTACAGAAACAACTGTGGCAGGATTGCGATGCAGGTCCAGAGACTGAACTGCCCGGTGGCATCCCTAGAGTCCCGACACAGATGCCGCATCATACGCTTAAGGGGAATCCCTGAAGAGGTACAGGGGGAAGTGCTCCTACCCTACACCCAACGGCTAATTGCAACAATAGGCCTGAAGGGGAAGATAGAACCCGGCATGATAACTACCGCATTCCAAGTCTGGAAAGCAAGCACAGCCCCAGAGGCAGCCCCAAGGACACTATAATAGTCACAAGAGATATTGCTGTGCGATCATCTATCATGGTCCACTCTAGGGAACTGGGGAACGCGAGGTTTGAAGGCACCACCATCACCTTCTTCAGTGACACCCCATTTGCCTCGCTTATAGAAAAACAAAAACTGGCGCCAGTTGAGACCACTCAATGTGGTACAGATGGGGAGCAGATGGAGCCCTGATTGTGACAGTGGGTGACTTGACTACCACCCTCACCTCCGACAACAACCCGGAGAAATAGTTCCGCAGTCTGAGCTGGGGAGACCCACCGAAGGAAGCGGGATCAAACAGCCACAACGGAGAGACCGCACAGGAGATCTCAGGAGATGGCAAATCGATGGCCAGGTATAAGATCACCAAACTGGGAGTTTAAAGACACTGAACACAGCATGCCAAGAAGGGCACATAGTAGTATAGGCCCAGACCCTACGCCATCCCAGCCTCCTAAACCAAAATTTTTAAAATTTTATTGGAGGGCATCAATCTCTGAATTAAATTATGAATTTTGATAGTGCC